GTCGAAAATATGCGAGGCCCATGTAATTGAATAGAAGGTAGAAAAAGGCTCTCTGGGACCACTATTTTATTTGCCCGACGTTTCGAACTCTCACGCGAGCTCATTGTCAAGGCATAAAATAACGTACAGCTCCCTGTGTGTTTAGCTCAAATCTGCCGGGAATGACCTTCAGCCCTGCTCTCGATTGTTTTCGCGCAACGCAAGATAGGCATCAGGAAGATCGATATGCCTGTTAATTGAATCCGCGTGTGAGTGCCATGCCCCCTGCAAGAGGCGTGAGATTCGGTCGTCTGACTGACCTAGTATTCGCACGTGCTTTATGCACCAACAACTACAAGCGGGATTTAGTGTGTAGCCCAAATCAGTCTGGCCTTCACGCCACCGGTCCGAGGCAGTAAATAATGACACCTTCCCTTGTTTGTACGTGCTGCATCCATGGCGCCTTTTTTGCGTTCTCGGACAGTCTTCACATCAAATCGGATATAAGGGTGGATGTCTAGTTTACCCACCAGATCAGCGCACGAAAACCCTATCCTTCTGTAATACGGAACTGGGTGTAGTAAAGGTTATAAAGTGTGGACAATGCAAGGGAAAGAAAATTTAAATTAAAAAAAAATAAAGTTTGGCACTGGCGACAAAAAGGAAATAATGACCCAAAGCCCAGGTATGTGTTTATCTAATGTTCCACAGGACACCGGTTTTTTTTTCGTGAAGAGTCGCTGTGTGTCCTCTAGTATCCACTCGAATTTGCAGTACTAGATTTAGGAGACTTGAACGAGGTTGATTGGACCAGGGTTCAGGTATTATTTTAAAACCCTGTGCGGGTTCCTATCTCAGTTTTTTGACGTCAAGTTCCAGGAAAAAGTTGTGTTTTTGTTCAAAAAAGAATTATCCAGCTAAAAGAGGGTGTAACAATACGAGCAATCAAGTAACCTTTGCGTCCACTGGAAAATTAACCAATTCTAGAAGGTTTACTCGTCAACGGAAAGTTTTTAAACGCCCTCCTCTACTTTCTGGTGTTCGCAACCCTGCGCTGTTGCAGTGCGGAGAAGTCGGGGCAGTTTACTGAGATGTACTAGTCATTTCCCTTAACAGCAGGGAAAAACCGAAATCCGGACCGCCGCAACCTTCTGAAAACTGAAACTCGACCATTCACATCCATTCGTAAAGCGTACTACCTGTAGTGATGGTACTTGAAACCAAGTACCTTATTACGTTTCGAAGATTTCTCGTAATGGACTCCTCACCTCTACTCTGAAGATCCTTTTTAGTTCGTTTTTATTCCTTTTTGTCGGACTGAAATGCTACTTCTGGGAGTGCTACTGTGCCTCTAAAACGCGTCACGCGGTAGATGCGCTGGACCACCACGGCTGCTAGTTCAGGGCACGGCTCGCGTCATTATGAATGCGCGCTATAGCAGCTGTCGCACATGGGGCTGTGGGAACACGCCTGGGCACAACGTACGCCGTAGTAGTCACCTAAGTCCGATCCAGCCTCTGGTATTCTCGGCTCTGTCTTAACACTGGACAGCGGGTGGTGAGGGATGAGAGAGTTCAGTAGATGCCGCGCAGGTCACGATCTCCGCACTCGCCCTGCTGTGAAACAGATGGTGGACATTGCCATTGGCACTGGTCGAACTCAGAACAGCAGATTCTATTAACGCTGTTACCAGCTTATTTTACCCGAATGAATGAGAACGTTCGCGTTCCAGGTACTTGCATGGATAAGGAAGAAGACTTGTCGAGCTTATTTTGTTTCATATCTTCTGTCCAACCATTTAAACACCTTCCCTTGGAATGTATCAGTAAATCCTTATATTATTTAATTGCTTTATGCTCCTTACAAGAAACATTTATTGAGGCTTCAGCCTTTGAAATGTAAGATAAACGGGAAAAGTTACAAGTTCGTTGGCAGTCTTTCCCCTGGCGCGACAAAATGTGATATATTTTCCGTCAGTGTTTGTTTTAGCCGCTAGCCGTAACCAACGCCACCCTCCTGAACCAAGAAAGAGGCGTTTAGTCCACCAGACCTTATATACTCCCACTTGCCTTTTTTTACAATTTCCTTACTGCGCTTTTTGCAGAGCTCCCTAGTTTTTTATAGCACACAAACACGCCTATAATCATTCCTTCTTTCTTTCCTTCCCTTCTGATGACAGCTGAAAATCCTGACTTGGCAGCTTCCTCCCGCGCCCGATGTTGTGCCAATGCTGGGCACTCCAAAGGAGGAGGATATCCTGTCTGATGGTGAACCAGCTCACCTTGCCTTCACACCCTTCCCTCCCCAACTCATGCCTCTGTATTGTCCAAAGGTGAGGCATCCGTGCTGTCTTAATGATACCTTTGTGTGCTCTGATCCCCCTCCCCTTCTATGATTTATTGTCATCCACTGCGTCCATCAGGTGACCGATCAGCTAAGTTGTGGTTTGATGCTGGCGGTGGGGCAAAGAGTGAGTTCGACCCTCAGCGCATTTTTTTCCTCACTATAAAACAATCTGAGGCGCTGGAAGCTATCACGGTACGCTAAAAGCCGTGGTAGCTTGGAGGACTGCCAACTGACGAGATAACTTGGACACAGCAGTCAATCCAGTGTGTGTCTTGTTGTGTGGAGTGATGGACTGAGAGTAAGACTCCTTAATGTGGCCTTTTTTGGCGCTCCCGCGTACGCGGAAGCCTACCTAGCAAGGCGTGCTTTTGTGACGCGCATGGGAGTGTTGACCACCTGCGCCCTCCCCCATCTCCGGTCTTTTCGACGTCTGTCTTGACACCGGGTACGAGTGTGGGAGTGGGGGAGAGTTGGGTAGTTCCTGCGTGAGTGTATTTTCAATATAATCCCGCGTTCAGCAGCAACGACCTAATCAGCCACAAACGCAGTTGTTTATCTTACGACACTGACCGTTCTGAGCCTGCTGGCACGTTTAGGGGCAGCCTCGGCCGCACCATCCACCTACGCCCTCCTCCATCTCCGGTCTTCTCGACTATCGTCTTGACACCGGATATAGTTGTTGGAGGTGCATTTTTCTCCTTGGTTTTAAATGCTCTTAGACCTTTAAATATACATCGATGTAGCCTGCAACGGAAGTCGGTCGTTACCTCCCAAAAGTAGGAGGGGAGAGTACATGAAGATGTGTTTCTACGCAAGTAAAAGCATAGATATATCCGGTGTAGGGTATTCCGAAAGAAAACTTGGACGGGAAAGTACCTCATACTTTTGGTCTACTAAATATGAAACGAAATTTACTTCAGGGATTGGCAACTAGCGTGTGACGTATCTACTCTTCTGAAACTAGTGAAGCAGAACTCCAGCTGCTGCAGAACACACTTCGTCAAAACGGATACCCAGAGAGCTTCTTACTCAGGAATATTGACGAACTTACCAAAAAAGCCTACTACCTTAACTACAGAAAAGAAGAACGTGCTCGTAAGACTGCCTTTCTTAGGGGACGCGACAACCGAACTGGTATGACTAGCACAAGCGTTTTCCTGTGGTGAGCCTGCGCGCATTCCTCACGAACTATTCGCCCTTACGCTTAGGTGGTAAAGACAGACTCTCGTGTGTACTCTATCACTTGCTCCCGTAGAGTGGGGTGCGTTAGCCGAACAACAAGGCGCCTGGAGAAGAGAATGCGTGAACACATACCTGCCTGACTGAGCAATTATGAAACTAGATTAATTTCGACACTAATCACTGATTCTATCCAACGAAGCCTTTCAAGTTGTCTATCATGAACTAGATAACTTCTTTAAGGGCCTGCGCTACCGGGTGCCCAAACCTGTTTGGATCGCAAACGGGATTTTTTTGCTAATCTGCGTAATTATTTACCATACTGACAGCATAGGTACTAAGTAAAAGCCCAGGCGCCTGTTTCGCCGATATCCTGCTACTGCATGGCGCAGCTGCGAGGACTTCGGATCCCCAACATGCCCTGAGTTCTTTCTGGTAGATACTCCAGTTTACAAATGGTAGCTTTTTTACTTTCCTCAGAAATTACTTTCGTACTTGGAGTAGATAATTGTATTCAAGGGTCTAAAAGCGCAGCCCGAATATTTGGGCTGAAGTCCATCGCCACTGCAGGATAACCGCGTGATATTTACAAGGTATCAGCGGGTATTAAGTAGTATGAATTATGGGTAAGGCTTTCTTGGGAGGCCGCCTGATGGCAAACGTTCCCCCAGCCCAAGTTTCTTACGGAAATCGTGGTAAAAGGTTTAATGCTTGATTAAGGCGAAGGTAATGCGTGATAAGTGCACAGTAGGAAATAAATTAAAGCCGCTTATAATTGTTTTACTAA